CCAGGACGTGTACTCCGAGCATGTGCTGACCAACTGGCAAGTGTCTTCACTGACATTTTCAACATGTCCCTGACTGAGTCTGTAATACCAACATGTTTCAAGCAGACCACCATAGTCCCCGTGCCCAAGAACTCTAAGATAACCTGCCTAAATGACTACCGACCCGTAGCACTGACGTCTGTAGCCATGAAGTGCTTTGAAAGACTGGTCATGGCTCACATCAACAGCATAATCCCAGAAACCCTAGACCCACTCCAATTTGCATACCGCCCCAACAGATCCACAGATGATGCAATCTCTATCGCACTCCACACTGCCCTTTCCCACCTGGACAAGATGAACACCTACGTGAGAATGCTATTCATTGACTACAGCTCAGCATTCAACACCATAGTGCCCTCAAAGCTCATCACTAAGCTAAGGATCCTGGGACTAAACACCTCCCTCTGCAACTGGATCCTGGACTTCCTGACGGGCCGCCCCCAGGTGGTAAGGGTAGGTAACAACACATCTGCCACACTGATCCTCAACACGGGGGCCCCTCAGGGGTGCGTGCTCAGTCCCCTCCTGTACTCTCTGTTCACCCATGACTGCATGGCCAGGCACGACTCCAACACCATCATTAAGTTTGCCGACGACACAACAGTGGTAGGCCTGATCACCGACAACGATGAGACAGCCTATAGGGAGGAGGTCAGAGATCTGGCCGTGTGGTGCCAGGACAACAACCTCTCCCTCAACGTGACCAAGACAAAGGAGATGATTGTGGACTACAGGAAAAAAAAGAGGACTGAGCACGCCCCCATTCTCATCGACGGGGCTGTAGTGGAACAGGTTGAGAGCTTCAAGTTCCTTGGTGTCCACATCACCAACGAACTATCATGGTCCAAACACACCAAGACAGTCGTGAAGAGGGCACGACAAAGCCTATTCCCCCTCAGGAGACTAAAAAGATATGGCATGGGTCCTCAGATCCTCAAAAAATTCTACAGCTGCACCATCGAGAGCATCCTGACTGGTTGCATCACCGCCTGGTATGGCAACTGCTTGGCCTCTGACCGCAAGGCACTACAGAGGGTAGTGCGTACGGCCCAGTACATCACTGGGGCAAAGCTCCCTGCCATCCAGGACCTCTATACCAGGCGGTGTCAGAGGAAGGCCCTCAAAATTGTCAAAGACTCCAGTCACCCTAGTCATAGACTGTTCTCTCTGCTACCGCACGGCAAGCGGTACCGGAGTGCCAAGTCTAGGTCCAAAAGACTTCTCAACAGCTTCTACCCCCAAGCCATAAGACTCCTGAACAGCTAATCATGGCTACCCTGACTTTTTGCACTGCCCCCCCACCCCATCCTTTTTACGCTGCTGCTACTCTGTTAAGTATTTATGCTTAGTCACTTTAACTCTACCCACATGTACATATTACCTCAACTACCTCAACTAGCCGGTGCCCCCGCACATTGACTATGCAACGGTACCCCCCTGTATATATAGCCTCCCTACTGTCACTTTATTTTATTGTATATATAGCCTCCCTACTGTCACTTTATTTTACTTCTGCTCTTTTTTTCTCAACACTTTTTTGTTGTTGTTTTATTCTTACTTTTTTGTTTAAAATAAATGCACTGTTGGTTAAGGGCTGTAAGTAAGCATTTCACTGTAATGTCTGCACCTGTTGTATTCGGCGCATGTGACCAATAAAATTTGATTTGATTTGATTTGATTTAATGTTAATGCAAGGAGGGAAAGGAATAATTCTTCTTCTTTGTCATCTTGTTCCAGTTTAGATTCCATTGATAATGTTGATTGAGGTATGGGAATGTTAAGTTGGAAGTGTATAACATGGAATTTAAGGTTTACAGGATTGTATCATGGACAGATGAATATCTCAGTGGATCAGATAGAGCCCCTTCTGACCATGCAGAAACTTGGGGTTCCTCTGACAGCACATGGATGATGAAGATGGCTGTTTTTGTTATTTTTATATTCATGTGTATAGATTATCATATCCATGTAATTTAGTAATGAGTATATATAATTGTTATGTATTGTTGATGTCATTATGTTAACAATTTATTTCTATGTATGTTTTATTAGCATGTATAGAAAAAGGGGTCATTTTAAAAGCGGGGATGTCTATGTGGGATTTTTTCCTTATATATATATAAAATAAGGTTTTGACTACATAGATTATTAGCATGAATACATAGTAGTTAATTATGTGTTTATGTTTTACTCAGACTGAGTTTATAGAGGTTTGAGAGGTTTGATATCGCATAAGATAGATGACTGAGAATTTATACCTTTGTTGATTAAATAAATGGAGAATCGAGTTGGATTCAGGTATGAAAGGTGGAAGGGATCAATTCTCAGTTATCTAGCATAGTTTAGGATCTAGTCAGAGGTGTATGGACTACTGATTGGAGAATATTGTATTTTATATAAAGTTATATGTGCATTGTTTGGGTTAAGTCATGTCACTTACCACAAAAAAAAAGGATCGTAATGATGTCATGTCATAGTGTTGTGAGGACAGAGGAAGCGTTAAGAGATGAGTGGTTTGGGGCCATGAAGTCTACATTCCATTATGTCAAAGGAGATTAGTGATGTTTAGGATAGTGACTTGGGGTAAAGAGTGATGAACATCAAAGACAGGGAGTGCCCATGGAGACTTATCAGATGTATGTGAAAGCAAGATGACCAAGGGCATATAAAGGAGATTGTTTCCTTTGTTAGGTAGTTCAACTGACGAAGGGCAAAGCCATGTCCGTTTGTTAGATGAACCCACGAGCTCGTGATTCAATAAATACTTGGTATGAAATCTCCACAGAATGTTTAAGTATATCCTTGCATCCTTGATTCTTTGATACCTGAGAAACTCATCATAACAGGCATCAAAGGAAAGAGAAGGATCAAACGTGACTCCCTGTTTGGAGATGAGAGGACAGATTGATGCCTTGACCATCAATTGTAGGGCAGATGTTTCCAGCACTGGTGACCAGCTTGGGTGTCCCAACATGCATAGCCTCAGTCTTGCAGCTGTTCAGCTGGAGGAAGTACTCTTTCATCCATGCCCTGATGTCATCTAGGCAGCTGCGATGTTTTGCAACGGCTGAGATGTTGTCCGGTTTGGGGTATCGATACTTGGGTATCGTCAGAGTAGCAGTGGAAGTTGAAGTGGATAACTTACTTGGAATTTAATTGGAATTGCAGCCAAATATTTTATTTATTATTGGAATTGTAAAATATAATCATCCCCAGTGGTGGAAAAAGTACCCAATTTGTCATACTTGAGTAAAAGTAAAGATACAGTACCTTAATAGAAAATTACTCAAGTAAAAGTGAAAGTCACCCAGTAAATTACTAGTTGAGTAAGTCTAAAAGCATTTGGTTTTAAATATACTTAAGTGTCAAAAGAAAATGTAATTTCTAAAATATACTTAAACATCAAAAGTAAAAGTATAAATCATTTCAAATTGCTTACAGTGCATTCGGAAAGTATTCAGACCCCTTGACTTTTTCCACAAAAACAATACGTTACATCCAATTGATTACTTTATTTTTTTTATCAATCTACACACACTACCCCATAATGACAAAGCAAAAACTGTTTTTTAGAAATGTTTGCCAATTCATTAAAAATAAAAAACAGATACCTTATTTACAAATGTATTCAGACCCTTTGCATTGATCATCCTTGACTGTTTTCCTGTCCAGCTAAGCATTTAAAATGTAATGAGTACTTTTTGGTGTCAGAGAAAATGTATGTAGTAAGAAGTACATTATTTTCTTTAAGAATGTAGTGAAGTAAAAGTAAAAGTTGCCAAAAATATAAATAGTAAAGTAAAGTACAGACACCGCAAAAAACGACTTAAGTCGTACTTTAAAGTATTTTTACTTAAGTACTTTACACCACTGATCAACCCTGGATTGGAATTGGAATTAATTGGAATTTAGACTGTCTGAATTTGAATTTAATTGGAATTGAACAAGAACCCTCCTTGGAATGGAATTTGAGGAATTGACCCCAACCTTGCTAGGATCCAAAGGGCTCTAGTCAAAAGTAGTGCTCTATATAGGGAACGGGGTGCCATTTGGGACACATCCTTTGACTGATAACGACATGCAGGAAAAATAACATGATGTCAGTCCAAAAGGCAAACTAATGGTGGATGCAAAACCAATTACCAAGTTAAATGTCACTCAGAAAACACGTTTTCTTCATGACAAGTTATATGGGAAATTTGTTGCTGAGGAAAAGGCTACAGTATAAATAATATATTGTGACAGCCTAAACATTAACCCATTACAGTCTAAGCCCTGTCTCCCGAGTGGCGCAGCAGTCTAAGGCACTGCATCTCAATGCATCACTACAGACATTTACATTTGAGTCATTTAGCAGACACTCTTATCCAGAGCAACTTACAGTTTTACTGGCCCCCCATGGGAATCAAACCCACAACCCTGGCATTGCAAACACCATGCTCTGCCAACTGAACTACATCCCTGCCGGCCATTCCCTCCCCTACCCTGGATGACTTGTGTGCCGCCCCATGGGTCTCCCAGTTGCGGACGACAGAGCCTGGATTTGAACCAGGATCTCTAGTGGCACAGCTAGCACTTTGATGCAGTGCCTTAGTCTCCCGAGTGGCGCAGTGGTCTAACTCCCTAGTTCGATTCCAGGATGTATCACAACCGGCCGTGATTGGGAGTCCCATAGGGCGGCATCGTCCGAGTTTGGCCGGTGTAGGCCGTCATTTTAAATAAGAATTTGTTCTTAACTGACTTGCCTAGTTAAATAAAGGTAAAATAAATAAAATAAGCCGGGTGGGGTTCTACTAAGCCATGTGGAATTGTTTTAAGAGGGTCATACCAAGGATCATTTTGCTATTTGATTTAGAATTTGAAGACCCCTTGAGGTATTTAAAAAATATATATTTTATTTTTTATTTGGCCTTACTGCTATTAACCCATACAAACGCAATGAATAACAGATTCACTACATGGAACAACAGATAAATAAGAGTTGGGACACCAGTGTTCTTGATCATTATCAGCTCATTTCCATTCTTGAATCTTTGGTAAATGTACAACTTTGTTCCTTTTTATCTGATAATTATATTCAGTCGGGGTTTAGACCAGGGCACAGTAGTATTACTGCAATAACATTCGTTCTAAATGATATTGTGGACTTGTCAAGGGCTTTTGACACAGTTTATCATTTTATTTTATTGAGTAAGTTGTCCTCAAAAGGCCTGGGCACTGACGCTATGTGGTTTCAGAACTATCTCAGTAACTGAATTCCTTGAAGTGTATAAAGTGGTACCCCAGGCTTCGATTCTGGGGGCCACTATTGTTTACAATGTATATAAATAGCATTGGAAATACTGTGAACAATTTTTATAATCATTTTATGCTGATGATACAGTATTATACTCTGTTGTACCATCTGTAAACCAAGCCTTTTCACATTTTCAGTCTGATTTCCAAGTGCTACAGAAGTCATTATTGGATCTTAAGTTAGTACTTAATGCAAACCAAACAAAATACATGCTATTTTCTAGGTCTGACTTAAATTACTAGCCTGAACCGAACACAAATTGAACGCCATAGTCATATAATAATACTCGTAGGAAAGGTTTTCATCTTTAGCTCACAATCTGTGGATACTATACGATTAGAATGGTTCAAATGTATGTAAAACATCACAGCACAATTGAAAAATATATGGCACATGGAAACCAAACGAGGATGGTATATGGTGGTAGGTGGGATGGGCTGAGAGTGGCTGAAGGGTGGGATTAAAGAGTTTATGTAATGTATTATTGTTATGTGATTGCTTTATATAAAAGTACCATGTATGTAAAATGTGTATGCAAAATGTATATGTAAAATATAGCAAAAAAGCTGTAAAAAACAAACAAGCAAGAAATATGTCCTCAGAAGAGGGTGGATGGGTTATGTTAGAAATTGCGTAATTCAAATCTGGTATTGGAATAAGAGAAAACCTAATCAAGAGATATTCAATCCAAGCTAAATTTATTATATGCAAAATGTATGTATGAAAGGTATGATGGTTCGTAAACGGGCTCACTGAAATACCACGCAGGGCAGACAGAGAACTAATCCATTGTTACAGGTTCTTCTTCAAATACTCTGACAGAGATATTTCCCACTCCCTGCTGGCCAATCAGAGTAGAGACTGAGTGTGGTTTAGACTTACTCAGCCTATCCGTTGGCGCACCGGCTGGTCCCAGCCTCTTGGCGCTCCAGTGTTGCACACTGTTGCCAGGCATAAGTTGTTATCATAACAACCTGTAGAGTCAACACTTTTTTGCAGTACCCATGTCCTTGGACGGTTCACAGATCACAAAGAAGCAGTGTAGTCTAGCATTTTGTCTCATCCTACCCCCTAACGTTCCACACATGAATCACAGCTTGTTATGTGAAACAATTTATATCAGTACAGTACAAACCTATGTTTATCATTAATGCATTCCTTCTAAGCTATTCATCACATACAGATCCAATTATGAGACAATAGAACCCCACAATCCCCCTTTTCACACCCACTGGGTGTGAACCCAAAACAAGAAAACCCAAAATAAGAAATTTCAGGGAGATTTGGATTCCCCTTTTGACACCCATTATGGTGTCACTCAAAATAACATAGTTGAACAACACATAAGTAAGCATGAGGATAACAGCATAACAAAAATTGATTCACACTAAAATTTTATTCTAAAAGAAAATAAATGTTAAAAACCTTCCATCCTCCCCTACACCTAACATGTACTGAGTTGGCTACCAGCCACCCAGGAATCCTTTACCTTCACATCAGGAGGAATAAACAATCACAATGGTTAACTTGATTAATAAAGCATAATACACAGGATTAATAGAACACAAAACACAAGATTATTAAAACATAAAACACGAACAGGGAAGTACATTTTGGCCCCCTTTAGACACCCTCTAGGGTGTCACTCCACCAAGCCTGGTAGGTCATATCCTTCATTCCTTAGGTCGGAGTCCGGGATTGGGCCGTATCTCACCATCTGTTGGGAAACCGCCTTCTCAATCTCCTTTTCTCACCAACCCTCAGACACAGGGAATAAGACAACATCCACAAAGAACAAGTATACCCATAGAAGCTATAACTTCACCCAGAATAGTTACAAGAATAGTTTTCCATTTACCAAATATGTTATCAAACCAACCGTTTAGGGAACTATCAATACCAGAGTTCTCAGCCAGTTCGTTCGTCAGCGTGGTGAGTCCCTGAAGCGCTTTGGTCACGGACCCATCCGGTGCTGTGTTGTTTGGGGATGAAAGTACAGCACATAGATCCAAACAGAACACAAACCCCGTCCCGCTCAGCCAAAAGCATATCTAAAACTATTATATTCTGCCATGTCATTAAGCTAGTTGTCGCTGTCTACTCAGCTAATCCCTTTATTGCATCACGTGGTATATAAATCTTTGCTGGTTATAGTAAATATAATTTATCCAATCGACGTTTTTTTAAATTGTTGACCACCAGAAAATACTTGATTCAAACCCAGCTGCGATCTGATTCCTAGCTTTGAATTCTTCTGGAACCCCTCGAGGTACTCCTATCCCATCAATATATATCCTTTAATCAAAGGATCCCGGGAGGAGGCCCCACTTTCCACGTGACAACTCACCAGTCTCTGACACGTTTGATTGTTTGCGTATGTAGGTGAGTTCACAATCTGTTATCACCACACAACCATCAGATGTCAGCACGTGCCTGGTTTTGGTTCCTAAAATCCTCTGGCTGCAACAAAGAGGAGAGATTAGTCATGGTCTCTTTAGTTGTGATATTCTCTGTGTGGGAGCAGGAGCTAAGATGCCCTACCCTGTATACTATCCTACTAGTCCTAGAAAAACAATAAGAATCCCCTGTGACTTCAAACAGAGGCAACCTAGGTCGGGATGACTTTGTTATCGGGGGATACAGATAGTGCAAGTTACTACAAGACTCTTTCACCACATTCCCAGGTGGCTTGCATGGAGGATAAACCTGACAGAGAGTCAAAGCCTGTCAAGGGGAACGGAGTAGTTGTTAACCCTGGTTTGGCTGTCCCACAGGCATAACAGTCCTCTTTAGACATAGTTCTTGCCGTATACTGAATCCATTCCAACCACAGGTCAAGATTTCTACACCCTGTCTTCACCTGTACTACTTCCTTCAGGTCTATAGTTTGCACTATCTTCACCACAGCCCCGGTCTCACTACCTCCCTCAGAGAGGTTTACTCTATATGGTGACCCAGTTGAAGAGGATATCTCACTTGTTCAGGTCTGTAACCTGTTTTAGCGTAATTCAGACTTTCAGACAGTACCTACCCTTATATGGGTCGCACTGCCATTTTCTGGTAATTCCCTACTTTCACAATACTACACCTGTCCCTAAACTGTGTATGGAGATTGACATACACCCCCCCCCCCCCCCCCCCCGCTTGGTATGAGCAACTACATAGTCCCAGGATGTACATGGTGACATACATATGGTGATGTCCTTCCCTAAAGTCCCTAGTACTTCCCCTTTCCCTACGTCTAGCTGTCTCCTATGCCTTCGTAGACTGTGCTCAGGTATTATTTTATCAACTTGTGTTAGGTTAACTACTACTTCTGGCTGATCAGGAGGGTTTGAGTGTGTTAGGAATATGGCCCCCACAATCAGACAGCTACCTACCGTCAGGAGACCTGTGAATCCCCACCCTCGCCCTGAGAACATGTCAGACGCCAGAGGCCAACCCATTGCTTTACCTTCTATCGAACTCACACAGGGATGATCAGACAGGGTAAGGGAATCTTCATTAAGGAGCCAACCCCCGAGCCCTAGTGGTGATCGGTTTTTTCTCCTAACTCTGTGTTTGTTTTCAGGTGTAACTGGGTTTACCTTTTTGCAGTGTGTGACATGCACCCAGGTGGATCTAATAGGACTTGGTAGGGCCCTTCCCAACAGGCCTGCTTCCAGTTTTTCTTCTTTTAGGGACTGGATACTCACCAGTCTCCTGGTTAGATAAAGTCGGTCACCTTCTCCTTTAGTTCACCTGTGGGGCACAAAACCTCTGACATACGGGTGTGGTTAATAAACTATCTTCACACATACATGTTCAGCTCTCAATTTCTAATCTTGTTGTTTTTTTTAAAAGTATTTTGTCATCTCCTTCGTATATATTTATTATTTAATCCTACCATCTCCTACCATACCATCCATCCCCCATTTGACACATGATTTGCCCATGTGTCAATATTACCACCTACCTAAACAATCACTTAGGTAATATTGGTAATTCATTATCCAATTGCCATCCCTCCACTCTCTCTTCTGTTATTTTATGGTTTAAATCATATATATTATTACCAAATTATAATCTTCTTCACACTTTTCACAGTACTATAAATTACCCTCAACTTAGTAAAATAAACTATCTTAAAGTCCTCCTCTCATGCCTTTAGAATTTACTAGTGTGGATGATTAATTAACACCAGAAGGTTAAAACAGAGTTCAGAGGCAATTGAAATTATTCAACGAAATGTTCCATCCCATAGTATACCAAACATTACCATTATTCTAAATATTTCATAAATGTTAGTTATCCCAAGTGTTCATTAAGTCCTCATGACATTCATTCTCATAAGAAATCATATATACCACAAACTCAGCCAAAACCTAAAAAACTCCATAAAATTCACTGTGCGTGCTCCTCTAAGACCTATCACCCTTGACCTGATGAAAACCCAATTTGAAAAACAACAACCACAAATAGCCAGGCCTCACTTAATTTGGTAGCTCACTTTTATGACCTAAATACTGCCTAACTTCACTACTGCTCCCCCTAGCCCTGGGAAACATTCCAATGAGATGAGCTAATCTCTTTCTCCTGGTTATAATCTAAAGATGGTAGTACACACAAAACATGATACAGATATCCCCAGTCTTAACCCATCAATAATTGTTTGTATCAATCTAATTCCTCATAACTAATCCATAAAACCACTCAAAATTCCTCGAGTATACAATGATTATTTAATTGATTACCCTAACTCTGCTACATGTGATCTCATCTCAAATGATCTATTATCAATTATTTGTTCAACCCCCTAGGAAAATCTGTCTCCCCTTCTATTGTTCCTGTCCCCCCTGTAAATGTCATATTTCAGTTGTTAGCCAATACAATCACGGTTACATCAAATGTTCCCTAAGTTAATGGTATTTTCTCCCTAATATAACTTCCCTAAATGAGATTTAATCCCCTGCCTTTACTCTACTGTCCTTCTATCATTACTGGATCAATGATAATAACTTTAATAACTATCAATAATAATTGTAATAACTATTTCACATTAAATTGTGCCTTTTTTCTGATAATGTTATAATTGTAGCCTATTCCATCACTTTAGTTTAAAATACAAGTTTGTTTGTATAACAAATCCATAACCCACCACAGGCTGGTGCTATTCCCCCAGCACAACAGCCAATGCCACTTGCATCCCCGTAACCAAAATAAATTATCGTTCTAAAATGTACCAAATATTTATATTTTCCCACTAACCCATGTCAGTTCGCTATTCAATTTCTTTAACTGTTCTCTCTGATTAGGCCCTGATTAATAAAACAAATACTTGCTATCGTTGATAAGCATACATTTAATGATGTTCCTAACATTTGAACTATCTCTCACCCTCCCCTTGCTCCTTCGGGGAAAGCGCATGGGGACCTTGTAATATATTTTCATAGACCTTTCTAGAATACTTCTACTTAAGCTATCTAATTCAACCTTTCACATTTCCCAATCCACATAGTAATCTAGGTCTATAGCCCCAATGTGAAAGCTTTAACCCACTGTCCCTACCTGTGTTCGCCAAACCCTACAAACTGCCATCACTCCACCACCCCTGGATGCTTTCCTTCTTCATTTCCCAAAGGCCAGTCATCCCTCCCCTTAGCCACCCCATCGCAAACACCTTAAAAAAAAAACATCCAAATTGCTTTTTCTACAAATGGGGATACAAACTAATTATCAAATTTTACCCCTAAACTATTGCCTGTAGTAAAGTCTTTTCGTTTTAGTTCGGTTATCAATTCTAGATTTCTACTTAATATCCTAAATGAATCCCTCTCTCTTTCCCCTTTATGCATTGAAATGAAATAAAACCCATAATATTTCAATGGGCCCTTTCTCAATGATACATACTTTAAAATTGTTTTCCATAAACCTTTAACAGACGCTCTCACCGTACCCGTTCAAAATGCCGTTTCCCCCACCAGGTTTGGAAAGCCTCATCCCGTTTTTCCCGTAAGCCTAATTTATGTTCCTCATTGAAGGCCCCACCTCCCCCTTCCCGGGGCCGTCGGGACCAAATAAACCTTCTATTAAGCTATCTATTCACCTTTCCATTCCCTTCCACATCGTATCTAGGTTTCCCCATGGAAGTTTAACCACTGCTACTGTGTCGAACCAGGCCCTCTCAACAACCCAGTCCTCCACACCATCTGCGATGCTTTCAAGTAAAATACTTTTCATGTCGCCCAGCCCCTCCCCCCCAATCTAGCCGTCCATTCAACCCTATAGGAAAAAAAACAATTCTCTACCGCGTTTCATTAATCCTCTATCATTTTTAAAAAATCCGTAACAACATTACCTTCCTCTATTGCTTTTTAAAGTCTTTTTGGTTAGTTTATTTTCCGGAGGTCCATAAACTATAATAAACATAATCAATTCCCCTCATACATTTAAAATTTCCCTTATGCATTAAAACCAAATAAATTATAATTTTCAACCCCTATTTGCATCCACATAACTTATTCATAACCACATTAGTTATGTCCTATTACCATTTAAACCTTATCACATACAAACCCCAAAAGGCACAACTTAAACTCATTGGGCGGCAAGGGCCCTTTTCCAATAGTAACAAGAAAGGTTTTGCCTTCCAACCCCAACCGACCCAAAAAAATCTGCCTGATTGCCCTCAGCAAGGAATCAACCCCAATGCTCCTGCAAGTCGCTCCACGAGCCGTCTTTTAAAAATTCCGCAAATTTAAATATTTCTCTTAACTTCCACCATACGTACTCTAGTTCGTTTAGCCAAGTTCAACATATTATCTCAGAAACCAAGCATCTCAAACAATGCCCGTTTTCCAGCCAACTCGAGTCTACATGCCCAAAAGCCACACTTTCGCTTCCACCCATCCCCGCAAATCTATTCTCTGTCAGTATAAATGAACGTTTTGAAAATTTTCAATCTTTCACAAACTACGTTTTTTAAACAAACAATTACAAAGTTAAATTGGGCAACCGTCCGCAAATTTTTGGGGGGGGGGGGGGGGGGGGGGGGGGGGGGGGGGGGGGGGGGGGGGGTCATAAATGACACACTTACACTCGACACACAATCGTAATTCTTTGTCACACAACTAACGTTTTTTAGGACACACAGATAGCAAAGGTATACAATGGGGCACACAGCCTCCTCTATTACGGGGCACACAGCCACCTCTATTACGGGGCACACAGCCACCTCTACTACGGGGCACACAGCCACCTCTACTACGGGGCACAGAGCCACCTCTACTACGGGGCACACAGCCACCTCTACTACGGGGCACACAGCCACCTCTACTACGGGGCACACAGCCTCCTTCTACTATGGGGCACACAGCCTCCTTCTACTATGGGGCACACAGCCTCCTCTACTATGGGGCACACAGCCTCCTTCTACTATGGGGCACACAGCCTCCTTCTACTATGGGGCACACAGCCTCCTTCTACTATGGGGCACACAGCCTCCTTCTACTATGGGGCACACAGCCACCTCTACTATGGGGCACACAGCCACCTCTACTATGGGGCACACAGCCACCTCTACTATCCCATGGGTTTAACCATCAGAATTATCAAACATTTGCATAGTATATTATGAAATTGAAATAGTATACTGTAATCGTTATTTATAGTACAATAGGGTTCACTTACATCAAACAGGTGCTTCAAAAAAATTAATTTGGATAAAGCCAATGTGCAGAACTTTAGTTACATAACAATAGGTGTCTGCTTACCTGTTTTTAGAAGCCCGGGCACTTTGTGAAACACACCGTTCGACGACAGCAATGTCCAATAGGCTGGGTGAATTCCAGTGAAGTTCCGCTACCAGATCACAGTCGGAGGTCACCAATTGTTAGAAATTGCGTAATTCAAATCTGGTATTGGAATAAGAGAAAACATAATCAAGAGATATTCAATCCAAGCTAAATTTATTATATGCAAAATGTATGTATGATAAGTATGATGGTTCGTATATGGGCTCACTGAAATACCACGCAGGGCAGACAGAGAACTAATCCATTGTTACAGGTTCTTCTTCAAATACTCTGACAGAGATATTTCCCACTTTCCCACTGATTGGCCAATCAGAGTAGAGACTGAGCGTGGTTTAGACTTACTCAGCCTATCCGTTGGCGCACCGGCTGGTCCCAGCCTCTTGGCGCTCCCTTGTTGCACACTGTTGCCAGGCATACGTTTTTATCATAACAACCTGTGGAGTTAGCACCCAAAAGACTGTACGTTCCTACGTCCAAGGACGGTTCACAGACAACGGTTCACAGACAACAAAGAGGCAGTGTTCGTATCTATAAGAAGTCTTATCTGTCTTACCCCCTAACGTTCCTTACATGAATCACAGCCTGTTATGTGAAACAATTTATATCAGTATAGTACAAACCTATGCTTATCATTAATGCATTCCTTACATACAGATCCAATTATGAGAAAATAGAACCCCACAGTTAAATCTAAATAAACTTATCTTGGTATCTGGCTAGATGATATAAATTGGCATTTAAACATGTTACTGAGGTGGTACAGAAATTGAAGATCACAATTTGAGCATGTTTGTCTTTGATAACAGAAAGGATGTTGTCCTGGCCACTTTTATGTCTGTTTTAGATTAGGGGGATATCATCTACATGCACACAGCAGCTTCCACACTTAAACCTATAGATGCTGTTTTCCATTGTGCCCTTAGATTCATTACTGATGATAATTTTAGAACTCACCATTGTGTATTGTATCAAAAGGTGGGTTGGGCCTCTCTGTATGTAAGAAGAGAACAGCATTCCCTTTGGTTTATTACAAAGCGCTCCTGCAGAAACGTTGAGCACAAGACTGGATAGCGTTGAGCACAAGACTGGATAGCGCTAGAGGTTCCAAGGGTGGCTTCTGATTTAAGAAAGCTGCTTTTAGCTTTTGTGCTCCAAATATGTGGAATGTGTTTCAGGGGAGGCTCAGGTTTGAATGCCTGTTGCCATTTAGGGAATTTAAAACATTAGTGGGGAATGCTAAGCGAAGATTGTGCTTTTTTTATTTAGTATTTTATTGTGTTTTGTATTGATGTGTGTTTGTAAGGTGCAGGGCTCATTTGAAAAAGAGACTTGGTCTCCATATGACTTCCTGTTTAAATAAAGGTTAATAAAACCCATCATGAACTCATACTGGGAATTAGCACAAACTAGAGCATATTATGCATCTGATTTATTGTTATTACCTGACTTGTTAATTCAATGTGTCAATAACGTAATTGTATCTCTCTCAAATTACATACAGTGGGGAAAAAAAGTATTTAGTCAGCCACCAATTGTGCAAGTTCTCCCACTTAAAAAGATGAGAGAGGCCTGCAATTTTCATCATAGGTACACGTCAACTATGACAGACAAATTGTGGGATTTTTAATTAATTTATTTGCAAATTATGGTGGAAAATAAGTATTTGGTCACCTACAAACAAGCAAGATTTCTGGCTCTCACAGACCTGTAACTTCTTCTTTAAGAGGCTCCTCTGTCCTCCACTCGTTACCTGTATTAATGGCACCTGTTTGAACTTGTTATCAGTATAAAAGACACCTGTCCACAACCTCAAACAGTCACACTCCAAACTCCACTATGGCCAAGACCAAAGAGCTGTCAAAGGACACCAGAAACAAAATTGTAGACCTGCACCAGGCTGGGAAGACTGAATCTGCAATAGGTAAGCAGCTTGGTTTGAAGAAATCAACTGTGGGAGCAATTATTAGGAAATGGAAGACATACAAGACCACTGATAATCTCCCTCGATCTGGGGCTCCATGCAAGATCTCACCTCGTGGGGTCAAAATGATTACAAGAACGGTGAGCAAAAATCCCAGAACCACACGGGGGGGACCTAGTGAATGACCTGCAGAGTGCTGGGACCAAAGTAACAAAGCCTACCATCAGTAACACACTACGCCGCCAGGGACTCAAATCCTGCAGTGCCAGACGTGTCCCCCTGCTTAAGCCAGTACATGTCCAGGCCCGTCTGAAGTTTGCTAGAGTGCATTTGGATGATCCATAAGAGGATTGGGAGAATGTCATATGGTCAGATGAAACCAAAATAGAACTTTTTGGTAAAAACTCAACTCGTCGTGTTTGGAGGACAAAGAATGCTGTGTTGCATCCAAAGAACACCATACCTACTGTGAAGCATGGGGGTGGAAACATCATGCTTTGGGGCTGTTTTTCTGCAAAGGGACCAGGACGACTGATCTGTGTAAAGGAAAGAATTTGTGTAATCTGTTGTAAAACTGTTGTTTGTCAGACAAGTGTATGGCGTCATTTTGAAATGAGACATGAGAAAAACTTCAAGGATGAGGTGGACAAGGCTGAAGGAATCAAGAGGGCCATGTCCAGGAATGAAAAGCAAAGCAGTATGTTTACAAATCTACATGCAGTCAAAAATCAAGCTACAGAGGGGAGCTACAAAGTTGCGCAGTGCATTGCTAAACATGGAAAACCATTTACTGATGGGGAATATATCAAGGTGGCCTTCCTCAGTAGTTTGACGGCTTTATTTGACGGATTGTCTAACAAAGACACAATGATCTCTAAGATAAACAACATGCCTGTGTCTGCCAGAACTGTTGAAAAGCGTGTTACTGAGATGGTTGAAAAAGTAAAGGAGCAGCCAACTGTAGCGTTAAAAGACCTGTGTGGCTCTTGATGCGTGTGGATGTGAATGACATTCCACGTCTGGCAGTTGTTGCAAGATACTGTGGCTCAGAGCAGGTAAGTGAGGAGCTGCTTTGTCTAAAAGCCATGCATGGTACTACTAAAGGGGTAGATGTAGCAAAAGCCTTCACAGATCATTTTGAGGAGAGAGGTGTCGATATTAAAAACATATTCGCTATTACAACTGACGGTGCCCCCGCTATGGTGGGGAAAGCTGATTGAAGATAAGATTGGCCACCCCGTGGTTAAATGTCACTATCATTCACCAAGCTCAAGCCCTTGCTGCTAATGGACAGCGCCTCTGTTTAGCGAGCTATGGAATTGTTCAGTTTGTGGGCAATTAGATATTCAATAGACACAATTAGTTGTAATGCACATATGAAAATCATAACTGGCACGCAGATTGGTAGAAATCGTAGAATGAATTGAAATTTGCACTCTACTCAAAAAAGGTTGCCGAACCCTGGTGTATACTATGGTAGGACTCCTATAGTATTCACTGTAGTATTTTTACAGACTGAAGTATGAATACTGTAGTATGTACTGTAGTATACTGTAGAGTGGCGCAGCGGTCTAAGGCACTGCATCTCAATGCTTGAGGCGTCACTACAGACCCCCTGGTTCGATTCCAGGCTGTATCACATCCGTGATTGGGAGTCCCATAGGGCGGCACACAATTGGCCCAGCGTCATCCGGTGTAGGCCGTCATTGTAAATAAGAATTTGTTCTTAACTGACTTGCCTAGTAAAAGAACATAAATAAAAAATGTACAGTTTACTATAGTATAAATATTGTAGTAAAAAAGAGGAGTAAATACTATAGTAATTACTGTAGTGTTTTTGTGGACTGTAGTATATGATACTGTAATATTTTGCAGACTGTATTTTAATTTATCATTTACTGTAGTATTTACTAAAATGTTTTTGTTTTATTATCCCCGGGACCACCCATACGTAAGTATGAAAATGTATGCACTCACTAACTCTAAGTCGCTCTGGATAAGAGCGTCTGCTAAATGACTAAAATGTAAATCTAAAATGTAAAATGGTTTGCCTCAATTTCTTACTCTTGGATTTTTGGGATGTTATGTAATATATACTGAACAAAAAATTTAACAATTTACAGTTCATATAAGGAAATCAGTAAATTAAAATAAATACATTAGGCCCTAATCTATGGATTTCACATGACTGGGTAGGGTCGCAGCCATGGATGGGCCTGGGAGGGTATAGGCCCACCCACTTGGTGACCCAGGCCCTCCCACTGGGGAGCCAGGCCCAGCCAATCAGAATTACTTTTTTGTCTTCCACAAAAGAGCTTTATTACAGACAGAAATACTCCTCAGTTCATCAGCTGTCCGGGTGGCTGGTCTCAGACGATTATGCAGGTGAAAAATACGGAAGTGGAGGTCCTGGGCTGTGGCATTGTGTTGTGTGACAAAACTGCAAATTTTATAGTGGCCTTTTATTGTCCCCAGCACAAGGTGCACCTGTGTAATGATCATGCTGTTTAATCAGCTTCTTGATATGCCACACCTGTCAGGTGGATGGATTATCTTGGCAAAGGATAAACATTCACTAACAGGGAAGTAAACAAATTTGTGCACAACATATGAGAAAATGTGCTTTTTTGTGCACATGGAAGATTTCAGGGATTTTTTTATTTCAGCTCATGAAACATTGGACTAACACTTTACATACTTAAGCCCTTCGTGCCTATAAGGAACATAGGCCATTGATAAATGTCCTCCATCTCACTCTGTGTTGGGGCATGTTTTTGTTTTAGGGTAATTGCATAAAATACTACCATAATAAAAAAATTTAAGAATGTGAGTGTCTAGGTCACAATGAAGTGGAGGTAAATTAAATACTGCATCACATTACCTCACTGAAATGTCATCTAATCAAATTGTGTTGCCCCCAATGGATACCTAAGAAGAATACTAAACAGTGAAAACAAAACAACTCATTATGCCTGTATTTCCAACCACATTGTGTACTGTACTGCAGTTTACTTGGTAAACAATGTGCGTCCGAAATGGCACCCCACTCCGTATATAATGTAGTGCACTATATAGGGAATAGGGTGCCATTTGGAATTTACAAGGACTTGGGCTTTGTGTTTGCCTTTGTTCTACCTAGCAGTTGTCCATTTAGTTTTGAGCCCTGCATAGTGATCTCAGTGCTTGACAGATGTTTTATCACTGATTTGGAGTTCCTGTGTGATCAGCTATTCATGTAGAGTTCAGCAGGTACTAGTACTCAAACCATTAAAATGACAAACCAAGTAGGCAGTGGTGTAAAACATATACTTAATTTCATGCTCACATACGTTTCGTTGTCTATAACATCATCAATTCTGTTCTAGAATCAGGTTCCCCATCTTACTCATTATGATGTAGAAGGGCAAAACTGATCCTAGATCAGCACTAGTCTGAGACGCTATTTGAATGAGTACTGGTTCAGGAATCTGTAGGGGCTGCATTTTACATGTTACATAATTAAAGTTAAGGTTTCTATTACATCACTCCTTTCCTTGAGTATCTTTTACTATGTGCCATGCCAAGGAACGACTAAGAGATCCTTGAATATTTTTTATTTTTTTTTTATTTCACCTTTATTTAACCAGGTAAGCCAGTTGAGAACAGGTTCTCATTTACAACTGCGACCTGGCCAAGATAAAGCAAAGCAGTGCAATAAAAACAAGACAGAGTTACATATGGGGTAAAAAACATAAAGTCAAAAATACAACAGAAAATATATATACAGTGTGTGCAAATGTATTAAGTTATGGAGGTAAGGCAATAAATAGGCTATAGTGCAAAAATAATTACAATAGTATTAAAACTGGAATGATAGATGTGCAAGAGATTATGTGCAAATAGAGATACTGGGGTGCAAAAGAGCAAAATAAATAACAATATAGGGATGAGGTAGTTGGGTGGGCTAATTTCAGATGGGCTGTGTACAGGTGCAGTGATCGGTAAGGTGCTCTGACAACAGATGCTTAAAGTTAGTGAGGGAGATAAGAGTCTCCAGCTTCAGAGATTTTTGCAATTCGTTCCAGTCATTGGCAGC